TCGGCTCCCTTGCTCCGCTTCGAGCTCAACGCATCATCTCCGCCGCCCGCCCTTTTCGCACCCTTCTTGTCGGCCTCGTTGTCCGACGGCGACGACCCATGCCGACCAGGCGCCAGATGGCCGATCACCTGGGTCATGAGGTTTAACCCGGACGCAGCAAACGACTGCTGGGTGGCCTCAGTCACCGCCTTCAACACGTCCGCCTTGAAAGACTTCATGAGCTCGTCCGGGAAGGCTGGCGGTGGGGCGGGCTGCGTGGGCGGCGGGACGGCGACGCGTTGAGTTACGGCGGCGGCGATGTTGGTCTGCGCGGCGACTAGGTGCTTCGATATGTATTCCTCCAATCCCTTCCTCGCTTCGTCCACGTGGTTGCCCAGGGCGACGACCGCGTTCGCACGTTGCACCGCCATAACCCCCTCCGGATTCTCTAGATCGTCCAACCAGCTCTCCGCCCTCTCGGCGTACGCCTTCATCGCCTCCCATGCTTCACCCATGTTGGCAGTGATGTTCTCCGTCACGGTCGTCGCCATGGTCAAGGACGCGTCCATCAGCCGACTCGACGCGTCCTGGTCGGAGGCGGCGACCTGGTCGGCCAACGACCTGAGCTTGTCCACGAGGTGGCCAATCCCCATCGCGAACCTGTCCACCCGACCCCTCTCCACTCCGAGCGCCGTCTCGAGACGAGCATTTTCAGCCCTCAGCCACATGTTCTCCTGTCGCAGCTGCGCGACGACGGCCGGCGTTGCCTGCCGACCAGCTGCTGAGGAACCCGGTTGACGGCCCGCCTCTACCGCTCCACCCCGGCGTTCCACCCCTGCGTTCCCTGTGGTGGTCTCCACGCCCGTCGGCGTCGGGGACGCGACGTTATCCTCCTCCTTCGCGTCGCCAACCACATTGCCGACCACGTGCGCCTCCTCCACGCCGACATTCTCCACATCGGCACCCTCCCCTCGCACGTACACAACATCCGCCGACATCCCGCCCGTTCCCTCCACGGCCGCCGCCGCTCCCTCCACGGCCACCGCCGCCGCTCCCTCAACATCCTCCATCTCGAATTCGACCCAGGGGAACTCTACCTCCTCCTCCCCCTCTTGCTGCTTCTCCCCCTCCGCCACCTGCTCCACCGACCCGAAACCCTGCTCCACGGCCTCCGCCGCCGCCGCCTCCTTGTCCTCCTCCTCCTCCTCATCATCCTCCTCCTCCTCCTCGTCGTCCTCCTCCTCCTCCTCCTCCTCCTCCTCCTCCTCCTCCTCCTCCTCCTGCCCATGCCCCTGCTCACGCTCCTCACGATCCTCCTCGTTATCATCCTGATCGTCGGTGTCATCCTCCTCCTCCTCCTTTTCCTGATCCGCGGTCCTCGCCACAGCCCTCTCTGCCTCCTCATCTGCCTTGTCGACGCCGTCTCCGGCCTCTCCGCTTGTGTCGGCGACACCGACTGCTTGGGATGCCGAAGGGGGCTCCGCGGCGTCGTCTTCACAGGCATCGGCACCAACTCCGACATGGCCTGACCGTCTGCGTGCGACGTGTTCCTTGATGTTTGTCATCATCCGAATCCGCAGCTCCTTCAACCCCGAAACGAGGACCTTGTCCATGCTGGTCGCACTGCGACGGTCGTCGCCGGTCAGGCGATCCATCCTCTTCACCACCCAGCACAGCGCGCTCATTGAGAGGAGGCCAGAGCCTGCGTCGCCGTCCCGGACGGTGTCGCGCATTTTCTGCAAACAACAGAGGAGAGAGCAAGGATGAGCACCGACGGCGGCGATGGCATCGCGCTAGGACGGTAAAACGATCGGTACTCACATCTCGAACGGGTTCATTGAAGTCGGCGAGCCTGGCCGCCACCTCTTCAGCAGAAGGCTTCGGCCACTCCCAGTGCCGGCCATCGCGGCCGAGCTCGGCCAGCACCGCCGCCCGGAAAAACCTGAAGCAACATGGCACATATCGTCAGTAGACTTGCTTAACGCCCAGCGGCGAAATTGCATGCGTCGTCGACTACACTATCGAGCTCACTTCAGCACGCGGATCGCCTCGTCGCGGTGCCACTGCTTCACGGTTTGCGGGTCGAAGTGCCGGACAGAGGTCCTGATCGTCTCTCCCCCGGCCCGCAACAAGTCGCCGGGGTACAGGATGACCACGACGCTGCAATGTGCCCCTGGAAGCGGTGCGATGCTGCACAGGCTAGGCACCACGACGTCGATCAGAACGGAGCAGCGACATAAGGCATCAAGGCACACCATCATGACTTAGGCTCACCTCGAATGCAGAGGGATAACAGCTACGTCGGCGTCGAACACCGTTGCAAAGCATGAGTGGTCTTCCTTGCCCATCGCCGCCCGAAGCCGGCCGAGTCCTATCGACCACAATCGCATGTTGGCCGGCGCCGCGCGAATCCATGCGTACCTGCACGCATGCATGGGTAGTAGATGTGTTTGAGGACGTGCACGGCACGACGGATGGACACGTGGGTTCTGGAACCGACAACTGACGGGGATGGCTAGAGTAGAACGGTGCACCACCGTCGCTACGTTGTAATCAATGGCGCCTACCGATGCGGGCACCGACCTACTGTAGTGATCGGAGTACGATGCCTACCTACGGCTGCGTGCGTCACCGAGTAGTGATCTAAACCCTAACGTGGGACAACCCTATCGACGTCGACCTGCAAGGTATCCAGCGGTCGACGTCGACATCCCAATACGGACACTCACTTGAGGCCGAATCCCAAGCAACGGGCGTTGAACTCTAGCCTATGGTCTACGAGGACGGCGTAGTCGTGTTCGTCGAGCTTGGCAGTCAGTCCACTGCCCAGGTCGAGATACAGAGGGAAGTCCTGCGAAGTCGGCGTCACTTCGCCGAGTTTCGTGGCGGCCGACATGGCGGGGAAGGGAAGCGGCTAAGGGACGTGAAATGTGGGAGAAGGCGCAGAGCTGGGGAAAAGGTGGAAAGGGAAACGAGATGCCGAAAATGAGGAGCTATGCCCCCTTCCACCAAGAAAAGGGGGTCGGTGCCCCACAGGAACGGTCGAGGCATCGCCCGGCCCTCGTGGTGCCTGCCTCGGCGGGGTTTGGCACAAGTCCTCCACAAGTGGCACAAGTCCTCGTTCGCCGCCGAGCCAGCAAGTCGATGTCACGCCCCGAAGCGAAAAACGTGCGCCGCGAAGCGATCGACATCGAATTCGCGATGTCCCGAATTGAGTTCGCAATGTATCAAATTCTGCATGTTGCCCGATGCGAAGCAGGCGGGCGAACACGTGGCGTCGCCGCAACGGGTCGCGAAATTGTCGAGCGTCCCGAGGGGGCCCCGACTTTTCGCCCGGCCCTCGCCTGCCCGTCCGGGCAGGCCGCGATGGGTTACTAGGACCTCGCGGGCAGGTGGCGCGCGTGGGCTGCCTTCGCGCGAGGGTAATTTTCCCACGCGCGAGGTGTCGCCAGTTCGCCGACCCCACCCGGTAACGTGGGCCGCTGTTCACGTTCGGGGCGGGGCCGCGGGGCGGCGGTCGTGCGCTCGGCCCAGCCCTGGGCCAGGCTGGCGGGCCCGCACGCGCGTCAGTGCTCCGCCCCGTCGGCCCAGGCTTCGACGACCCCCCTCGTCGACACTGGCAACTCGGGTCCGTCGACCGAATTCCGCTGGGGTGTTCGGAAGAGTTATCGTGCTAACACAGAACTCCGCTTCTCCGCACGTCACGCAAGCACTGTTTTCGTCGACTGTCTTCTGCCAGCAAGCACAAAACTAAACCCCTCTCGGATGGCATGTTTTCAAGAGCATCAACCCTAGACACCACGCGACAAGGCGTCTAGGGCTGATGCTCGCCCAGAGGGATATAATTTTGGGGCATCAACCCTAAACACCTAGTCGCAAGGTGTTTAGGGTTGATGCACTTCTTTAACATGCAAGCCAAGAGGGATTTAGTTTTGGCATCAACCCTAAACACTTAGTCGCAAGGTGTTTAGGGTTGATGCCCTTCATTACCATGCTAGCGGAGAGAGATTTAGTCTAGGCGGATAAAAAACAAAATAGTACTGTGCACCGTTTGCCTGAGTAGCAACAGAAATGGCTTCCGAGATGATGACACGCGAGTATTTGGAGACGAGTTCTGTGTTAGCGCGATAAATCTTCTGTCTCGGCAGCGAAACCTGGGAAACTGTGTGCAGGTAAAGACGAAGTTCCGTAAAAAGCGCAGGTTTGGAAGTACCTCTTCTGCCGTCACTAAAAACCCAATCTCAATTATCTTGATGTGGATTTGTTTCGGGCAAAATATCACCACGCGGGACGCCGCAACGCACGCACAGCCCCACTCAACTTCCAGAACCACACAAGAGCAGCGCACTTTGGGCAGTGATAAATTTCCTCCTAACGCGTCACATTGCTTCCAAATCGGCTGACCCCTGCTGGAAGCCAATCACAATCACGTCTCAGCTGCCAGCCTATCTCAAGGCTGTCTACCTTGCCTGCACGAAAAGAAAGGATGGTGTATTGTTCGGTTCGGGAATAATTGAAGCCTTGCTCGGAAGTGGTTCGGAACGTTTTGTCCTGCCTCGGCGATGTTCGAGCATTCGACACTGACATGCCCTCGTTTCCCCAGAAGACTCAACGCCAGCCCAGGCTTGCCTCAACATCACAAATATATCATCCCAGCTCATTCCTCTCGTACCTTACGACTGACCCGCGTTCGTTCTGCCTCATTCTCTTCTGCTAAGCCTTTTTCTCGTTTGCGCAAACATCGCGAAATGGCGGATGGTCCCCCGACTAGACAATGGACCACTGGCTGCTGTGGCTTCTGCGACGACATAAGCTCATGTAATTGTTACAGCCTAATTTGTACATGTTGTAGTGCTTGTGTTCTGAGCATGTAAACATTGCTTGACTTTGAACAAGCTTGGTCTGTTGCTCTTAATCTCACACGGTTAACGCATCACGTCTGCGTAATTCGATGATCACGTTATCGCCTCTGTGACATAACTGAAAAAAAACTGACTCTCTCTTCGCCATCCCCATTGCAGGCTGTTGCGTTCTCTTTTGTCCCTGTATCGCCATTGGCCGAATCGCTGAGATTGTTGACCAGGGAGGCACTGGTAAGTTGGCAACGTTGGTGCTAATGAGTACAACCGTGTCGCATGTTGGACGGGCATTTCTCAAATGTACATTCGCTTCTGAAGGCTGCGAAAACGACCCGTAGCTGACGGCACTTCTCAGCGCGCGACGCCTCGCTGTCCCAGTCGCTACAAATTAACGTTATCTGGGTTCTTGTTTGTTTGTTCGTTTGTTTGCCTTGTTTTGTTTTGTTGTGTTCTTCTTGGCCTTGTCTTCTTTGGAATTGATGTCCGACATTTATTTGCATTCGAACGTATATGAATCGTTTTGTTTTCGGCGTTTTTCCTTGTGCGATACCACAGGTTCCTGCCAGGCGTGTTGCTGCTGGTACTGGATCCAAGCTTTCACTCTCAGTACCCTTGGGTGCCTCTATTCCAAGGGTATGCTCTCTCTCTCTCCCTCTCTCTCTCTCTCTCTCTCTCTCTCTCTCTCTCTCTCTCTCTCTCTCTCTCTCTCTCTCTCTCTCCCTCTCTCTCTCCCTCTCTCTCTCCCTCTCTCTCTCCCTCTCTCTCTCCCTCTCTCTCTCCCTCTCTCCCCGTCTCTCTCCCTCTCGCCCTCTTCTTTCTCGCTCGCCATCTTTCTTTCGCCTTCTCTTTCTTCCTCGCTCGCTCTCGTTCTCTCTCACTCTCTTTCCTTAGCCCTCCAAGCTGCGACCAATTTCTATCCTCTCACACCTTTCCGTGTTTCCATTTTCTCCACCCCCCTGTCCCCCTCCACGCTTGCCCTTCTCGCGTAATTCCCCAGGTTTCCGTACGAAGTTGAGGAGGAGGTACGGCCTGCCAGCATCGCCGTGCGGAGACTGTTTAATGCACTGGTGCTGCCCCTGCTGCGCCATCTCCCAGGAATACCGCGAGCTGAAGAACCGCGGCTGGGACCCGTCACTCGGTAAGTTGCCTCGTGTCATCTCACACGCACGCGGCATTCTTGTGAAACCTCCAAGGAAAGTGTAGTGCAAGGGTGCATCGTGCACTGGTGCTGCCCCTGCTGCGCCATCTCTCAGGAGTATCGGGAGCTGAAGAACCGTGGCTGGGACCCATCACTTGGTAAGGTTCCTTATGTCCTCTCATGCACGGCATTCTTAGCCTTCAAGGAAAGTGTAGTGCAAGGGTGCATCGTGCACTGGTGGTGCCCCTGCTGCACCATCTCCCAGGAGTACCGGGAGCTGAAGAGCCGCGGCCGGGACCCATCACTTGGTGAGTCCCTGTGATAAGTTTTGCCTGTCAACGTACAGATTTCCTCGGGCTTGTATCTGGGTACGTGCATTGGTTCTTGCATGCATGGTTTTTTTTTTTTCAGATAACATGCTTGCATTCGTTTGAAATTTGTCATTTTGGGAGGAGAAATGAACCCCCTTTTCCATTCCAATCCAATCCACATAGACTGCTAGAAAGGCGACCTTGCCAGCAGCCCTCCCCACCAGCCAACTGACTGGTAGTGATTGATTTCTCAAGTCCCTGTGGGTTTTTGGGTTTTTTTTTTTTATTATGCAGGTTACGAGCAAAACAAGAACAAGAATCCGCCTCCCCAGCAGTTTATGAGTTAATTTTCAATAAGGTTGCTCGTGTTGTGTGCCACTAGATTGAGCTTATGTTGCAGCGCACTCAATTTGTGACAGCATTCTTCATGGTCACCACCACTTTGTCAGTCTGTTGTATATTATGAATTTATTACCTTGCGCAGTGGTTTTTATGCTATCAGCACGCATTGTATAGCACTGCCTGCAAATCTTTACCTACCGTAGCTTTGTGAGCAATTTGACGACGCGTCCTATCTCTTCCCGAATCGGCTTATAACACCCAGCAGCCAATCTTTGCCTTCGCTCAGTCGATCGCCTATCTAATGTTAGCCGTTCATCTCGCCTGCCCGGACGGAAAAGACGGCGATGTGTCTGTTATTGAAGTCAAGTCTATCTGTAGCCAGAACAGGTCAAGTCTATCTGTAGCCAGAACAAGCGTACGCACTCGCGAGAGTGTTGGGATTGTCTGGGCTAACAGATGACCTGACCACGAGGGACGTGTTGTGTTTGCCGCTGCGCGAGCTACTGGCCCAGATTATACAGTCTCACACAAGCAGCCCCCAATATCCCCCTCCCCTCCTACCACTTTCCGAATCGGCTAATCGAAGCAGGAGCCAATCTCAATCAACGCTCACTCGATCGAAAATGTTTAAACGTTCATCTCGCCTGCCCGAACGTAAAAGACGGCAATCCGGACTCGGCATTTTCTGAGCTTTCTTGCCCAGCATAAACGTCAGCCAAGCTTGCCTCGACATCACAAATATATCCTCACAGCTGATTCCTCCCGTATCGTACCACTGCCATCGCGTTCATTCTCCCTATCTCGCTTCTAGCAACCACCACCGAAGGTATTGGCTGAAGGAGAGCACCACACTCCTTGCCACCCCACGTGTCATCGCGAAATTCCATGTGGCCACAAAATGTACACGGTAGCTTTTCTTGCGGGAAAGCTGCGGAAAACCTTCGGAAAATCACCCAGTGTGAAAGTTGCGAGAATGTCACGTGTATGACGCGACAAAAAGCTACGGAAATGTCGCTTCCGCCCCTCAAACGGCCTAAACCACTTCGTGTCCCGCGTGGTAATGAGCGTTACAGTGCGGTTAAGAAATTTCAGGTTAGCGACATAATCGTACGGCCTACGAAATGTTACATGTGTGGTTGAAATTTCTCAAACCTGGAATTGAAACCTCCAATTCACAAGCAGCATGAATGTTTCACACCAACGAATTTCGAATTTGATGGTAATGTCGCCAACCACAAACTTCCAAAACTCTCCTTCTTGTCAACCAATCAATATAAGAACAAACCTGAGCCCACCAATCACCATGATTCCTTATCTCCACGTCAGCTCCTACCCTAGAACCTCTCGAATGTTCTCCCAGCCCACCCTTCTTCTACCTCCTACCTCCCAGTCTTTCGATCAATTTAGTAAAGCATCGTGGCTCATTTTCACCTTCCTGTTCACATCAATCTCCAAACCCAATCCAGATTTGTTTCTCAACCGTCGTCCTTTATTCTTCGTCGCGCTGCTCTTCATGCCAGCAACGTTTTCTGCCGTAGACCAGATCCGTATTCCTTTCCTATGTTAATCTTGTACTTTCCTAAAGTCTTCTTGCATCATTTTTTTTTTTCTGTCTTTGCTGTGCCAATGTACAGGTTGAAGTCACGATTCAACTGGAGATCCGGAGTCGCTTTACAACCGTATAGCGGGTGTTCGATGTCGCTGAAAAGGCCTTTTTCCGGTACGTGGCCATCTTGTTGCTCTCTATGTTTTTGTTCTGCGCGGCCGTTTCGCACGTTTTTTTAAAATGTGATGCTCCTGCCTAACTCTTCAAGTCGTGCTTACCGTGTTGTGCACGGAATGGAGGGCAACGCTGGGAGTGCGTTCTGTCTTGGTCGATTTATGTCGCATTGTGTGCAGATGTGTATTTTTTTAACGTCGTGGGGCGCGCTCCTTGTGTGCCCATTTTATGGCTGACAGGTAAGTGGCCATTATTATTTATATCGCCATGTTTCTAACTTGTTGTTTGTTTTTTTTGCAGCACTCCTGAATCTCTTGTGGTGATGTTCTTGTGCGTTTATATGTTTAGTACTAATTCGTACTTGCCAGGCTAATAACATCAGTTCTTGCAGGTACCATGGCGAAGAGGAAAAGAACTACCATGACCTCGTTGAAAATTGATGTTTTTGTTTTACTTGTGTTTCAGAATTGCAGGTACAAGTGGTTGAAATGGCAGCAGTGTTAGTTTTTTTTGTTGAAATGCCTTAGTCCAGATTACTTATTTGTGACATATAATCTTGATTGTGTTGGCGGCGTGATGTATGCATCTAAATCTTTATACTCATTCAATTCTGAACCACGTCGAAGTGTTCTCGGAATAACATCAATCTGAGTTCTTTTTGTCAGCCAATGCGCTTCGCTTACCCGACATGGCATAGACGACTCGGATTGGCCAGATGGCATGTTTGTATCCACATTTTACCTTGACAGCTGGCAAAAAATATCTTCACACGTGGCCATTGTATGTCTACGTGGCATATGTGACATATATGTGACACATATGTCACTTCGCATATCACTTTTCAGTTGCTGGAACCCTCGCTGTAAAGTTGCGGCAAAGTTGCGGAGCAGTCACTTTGCACGTAGCCCTGCCCCGGTAGCCTTTGACCTAGACTTTTTTTCTCCGGAGCCCAAGTTGCGGAAAAGCAACTTGGAAGTTTCTGGCATGCAACTTTTTGTGCCTTAGACTTTCGCGATGGTTCTTCTCACGCCTTCGGCTGGTTTATCTTCCCTTGAGATTGTTCTTTCAGTCAGTCTGAAATCGAGCACTCTATACTTCGACCGTTCTGTTACTGTCCTGCCTGAAGAGAAGTCCCGTAGCACTGATCCTTTTTGGTTCCGTCTCTGCCTCGTCAGGGTCCTCGTCTCCAGACTACCAATCGCCTTCGAGCAGAGTCAGAATGGCGGACGGGAAAGTGGAGCACTTGCTGCTGCGGCTGCTTCGAAGACTGGAGTTCGTGTAAGCTCGACTAGACACTGTCTAAGGGATGGATATGCATTCGTTGCAATGCTGAAACACGGTTTCAAAAACGACCTTCAAGCATTTCCACGCAGAAATCTCCTGGCAAGTATTTCTATTATCGCTGGAACTCTAAATACCTCGTCTTCTCCTGTACAGGCTGTTGCGTTTTGTGGTGTCCGTGTGTCGCCATTGGCCGAATTGCTGAGATTGCGGATATCGCAGAAGCTGGTAAGCCCTCACTATCGCCTAATTTCTGGTTCATATTACCGCTGTATACAGCGGGGTGTCACCCTAAACACCAACACTTCCTCAAATTTGTTACCGTTGTCATTGCCCGTACCAGACGCCTATGTCCCTTGTTAATGACATCGTTTGTTCGTCACCTTGTACAATTGCAGATGGCACAGAGGCGTGCCTTTTTTACTACTTGATTCAAGCGGTGGGGTGCGGGTGTCTGTACTTCTTGGGTAAGTCGCGTCCTCCATTTCAGATCACACGTATCTGATTATTTCCCTGACTGCATTGATAGCAGTTGCTTTGCATGTGTACGGGTACGAAAATTGATAACCCGCGTCTCCGAGAAAGCCTAACAACTGTACTTGTCGGAACATTATAGCTTATATATTTGTGTAGGCTATAGTGGGGTATCCCATAGGGGGTACAACCCAATCAGGGTTTCATATTTGTACTCACTTCATTCATAGTTCATCCATTCTCGTTCGCTTCTTCTCATGGAATCAGAGCAGGTTCCCCTGTGGGAACTATGCTTAGGGCCCACCACTTAAAATTTTCTTTCTGCCCTAGCGCCTTGCGCCTTAGCGCCTACCCTAGCGCCCGCCCTAGCGGCCGCCTTAGCGCCCGCCCTAGCGCCTGCCCTAGCGTCCTAGCGCCCGGCGCCCGCCCTAGCGCCCTTTCGCCGCCCGCGGCCTGTCCGTGCGCTGCCGCCCGTGCGCCGCCGCCCGTGAGCGCCGCCCGTGAGCGCCGCCCGTGAGTACCGCCCGTGAGCGCCGCCCGTCAGCGCAGCCGCCCGTCAACCGCCGCTGGTGCACCGCCGCCCGTGACGCCGCCGCCTGTGAGCCGCCGCCCGTGAGCCGCCGCCCGTGAGCCGCTCGCAGCTGAGCCGCCCGCCCGTGAGCCGCCCACGACGCCGACGCCGCCGACGCCGCCGACGCCGCCGACGCCGCCCGTGCACCGCCGACGCCGCCGACGTCACCCGTGAGCCGCCGACGCCGCCGACGCCGCCGAAGCCGCCCGTGAGCCGCTAACGCCGCCGTCGCCGCCGACGCCGCCCGTGAGCAGTCGACGCCGCCCTCGAGCCGCCCGCGCAGCCGCCCCAGCCGCCCGTC